TTGCTTTTAAAGAGGTACATCTAAAACAAGAAAGTGGTATTATCATGCATTTATTTATGGGTGAACTGAATCCAGGCTTATGTTATTGTAATGAAACGTAGTCCTGCCAGTTGGACTTTGAGAACATGCATCTATATTATTTTTGCACTTGGCAGATGTGGGTTGTAAACAGATGGGCAATGATTATTTGAATCAGTTCTGACGCTTCGAAATTAGTCTCTTCAGGGATGCTGATGTTAAGAGCAAGTCACATCTATATTGGTATGTTTGAACGTTCATATTTTTTAGGGTTAAAATATAAATAAATAAAGGTTTCTATTAGCAAGTACCAACAGATCACCCGGTGGGTAACTGCATTGTGTTTAGTGTCTGTGGTAATTAAACTAGCACCAGGTACTGTTGTGCTTGAAAGAAAAAATGTGCTGCCAGTAAAATAAATCGAAATTGACACAATCAATAGTAAATACAAAAAAAAAATGGAAATGATGACTTCTATTATATATATAATATATATTCTCTCTCACTCTGTAAATATATGTGTGTATATATATATATATATATATATATATATATATATATATATATATATATATATATATATATATATATATATATAACCCAGTCTGATGGAGTTCCTGAGGTAAAATTATGCCGCGCAAAACTTTTAGGCAGTCACTGACAATTTGTTAATTCGGTGTTCATTAGCAGTCTTATAATTTGTCTGGGACAATTTGTTTTTAAAATTTTTTTTAAAACAGAAATTCTCAATCATGCCCTGTGATAGATTGGCAAACTGTCCAGGTTGTACTCCGCCTCTCGCCGGTTGCTGGAGATAGGCACAAGCACTCCTCATGACCCGAGCAGGGATAGTCTTGACGAAAACTGGATGGAAATGTAAAATCAATATTTTCTTTTGCTAAAAAAAAATATATATGTATCAATCTAACAAGGGGAGTATATATATGTTTGTTCATATTGCTTAATATACGTTGCTCTTGACCAGAGGTCATGGATTAGCGGACCGGTGTCTGGATCCGGACCTAGCTGCTCGCTAATCCGGACCCAACCTGATTTCAAATATTTATAAATTACTGCATGTTGTCCGGCGGCAGTGTGTAATTTCACTTGTGCCCCGTCTCCTTTTTGTACGTTAAAGCCCTCCGGGACTAGGCTGCACGTGATGCCAATTAGCCAATGAGCTGTGTCAGTCTGGGCTGCTGCTGCTAGCTATTTTTAGACACAGCAGCCAAACCTGTGGCAAGCCAGGCAATGGGAAAGAAGGAGAAGATGAGAAAAACTGAATGAAAGTGTGGACTGCTGCAAGAACTGTGGCGAACTGGTGAAAGAAAAGTGAAATGGCATGATCAAAGATGACCCTGCACATTTTGAGTATGTTTGGCTCAACCTACTGCTGTGAAGCAGGATTCTCCATGATGAACATATTCAAAAATAAATATCGATCCAGGCTCATAATGAGCACCTTGATGTGTGCTTGAGAAAGACTTTGTCACCATTCAAACCCAGGGTTAAAGTGTTTCAGGGCAGCCTATAGCCCAATTCTCTCATTAAGCCAGAAAAAAGAAAGAAGAAAAATAAATGGTCAGTTCAGGCGTTTATTTATATATGTGAATCAGGAAATTCTCTATAAACCAAACTTAAAGATTGTTCTCTACTTAAAAAAGCACTTTAGATTTTAAAATGGAAAAATTTAATTAAAAAAAATTTTTTTTTTTTATTTAAAAAGTCAGTGCATAATATGGATGCATAAAAAAACATTTTTTTTCAGTGTTAAATTCTGTTTAAAGTAACAGATTACAATTAAAAATGTCTCCAGACCTTTACTGGTTGTTGATTTTCTTTATTCGGACCCCGCTGATTTTTAATTGGTGAGCCCTGCTCTAGGCACTACAGAGTGCCAATTTATTAGGAAATATTTGCTGTTTTTTTCAATGCAGCAGAAAGACACCTTCCTCCCCTGCAACACCACCAATGGATCCAAAATTTCCCACAATGCCTTTTGAAAAGTTGAGTACATCGACGGTCACTAGACAGGCAGATATAACTTGGAATGCTTTGCAAGAGCTCTCCTCGCAAAACATCAATGAGATTTGTTTTGGGGGCAAGAGAGAACAAACATGGCTCAAGCACCATGCAAGAAGCCACAGTCACATGACCAATGGGGAGCTAAAAGTAGTGGTCATCTCTACAAACCGTAATTTAACTGAGTGGAATATAGTCCCTGCTCTATATGCTGATTGAAGAGTTAGGGCAAACATTTGGACACAGCCTTAGAAATTAGCCAGAAAAAAAAAAAAAAAAACTGTCTGTGTTATCGTGCAAATAAGGTACTACAACAACCACTTAGTGTCATCTCGAAGAGAATTTATTCCATTCTGCCTCAAATTGCTACTCGTCGACTGAAGAAAATGTCCATGTTGTTGTCAGATAGACACAGCACACTGAAGGTAGGTAATTCTTTGAGGGTGTGGGTAATGACAGCTCTACATAGATTGGTCATGCCCACTTGTTTCCCTGGACAGGGAGGGATCGATGCTCAGACAGAAGATTTCTTGAAGATTTTATAACGATTATGTAGACATCCATGAGTAAAGCAGAATATCACTTTAAGGATGATTTTGGTTAAGGAATAAAGTAAACAGGGGTGGATGGAGGAATTTGGAACCCCATGAAAGACATTGTTATAACATCTAAAGCCACAGATGTTTTTTCCACAATATTGCTTTTTTACACATTTTCTTGTTTGTTTTATTCTTTGTCACTATGTCAAGTGACGTGTGTGTGGCTCTAAAGTTCTGGTACTAGAAAAATGCTCGAGTTGAGTCTGAGGAAGAAACCATTTCTTGTCATTTCACAGGGTGTGCTGGTAAATATATTCATGCTTTGTTTTATCATTTACTGCTGAAAAATTAGTGAAACCACAAAGATAATTTATTTTACTGTTGAACTTTTCATATTGGAAATACTTATATAGCGGAACATATTTTTTGGGCGCCCCCTCAGTCATGAGCCCTTGGAATCTTCCTAACTTTTCACCCCCTCCATACAGTGCCACGGAATGTAATAACAGTTAAAAGATCGAGAAAGTTTATTTTGCCTAATAAAGGCCCTTTACATTTATGAAGGTCAGCATTACCCAACAAAATTTGTCATTAATCGATGCAGTTAGTTAATTTTCTGTTGAGGATGTTTGTTCTTTATCTAGTTATCTTTTATTAGACTGCTGCAGGCATCCTTTATTTAAATGTACCTTAAAGTTTATTTTAGTATCATAAATATAGATTAGCTGAGTACACTAAAAAATGCAAAAATAAAATAGCATTTTATCATATAATCAAATCTTTAAAATCTGCATCCATTTGCTTGGTCAACTCAGTTAGAAACCAAAGACATTTTCAGTGTATACAAAGGTTAGCCTAAACTCAAAACTACTAGTTTGTCGTCACAGTGTACACTTCAAATATGATAAAATTTAAAAAGTATTTTACCTTTTTAAATCTAATTAGCAACAATACAAGTGCCAAAGTCAAACATGGTAGTAATCTAATCCTGTGACTCCTTAGGTATGGGTTGTTGCTGTCTGTTCTCTCGTAGAAACAAAAAAATGGGTACACTACGACTGCAGCTGTGAATCAATATCTTGGTTTAATTGCTACTGATCATTCAGAGATTTTAAATGTGTAACGATAAGGTAGATGATTCAGAATAAAAAAAATAAATACATGCTATTTTGATCTTGACACTGTATTAATGAGATGTAAACTGCAAAATTCTAATATTGCCGGTTTAAGTTTTACACAGTATTTAGCAGAAGAATAGAAATTAACAAATGTATTTGAGTAATTCAATTAAGTTGACATGTTCACCCTTAGAAAAGTATTCATGAATATTTAAAAAGCTATATAGATTATAATTACTATACTTTTTGTTGTTGTTTTCGAATTAATATTGATATAATAATAAAAATATAGGTTAACTAATTTGGGGGCAAAATTATAGTTTAAAAATTGCTTAACATCATAATATGATGTTAAGTAGATAAACATTATATTATAATGTTTATCTACTTTTGGTCAACTTATCTTGATCAGCAAACTAATTATGATCTTTCAAGGTCTGAGGTTCCTCTTTGCCACACCATATCTCCTGACGTAAAATCCATATGAGTGGAAATTAGCATTAACTCTGACATAAATGTTATGCCTGGCTCTTTGAAGAGAAAGAATTTTGCCATTAAATGTTACAACCTACAGCTAAATACTATAGATCTATTGCCTAAGCTTTACCAATTAGACAGATAACGATTCAGGCCTACAACTGTGTCTCCCCAGAGCCCCATCCAGGTCCAAATTAAATTTGAAAAATTAAACAAGATACTACATCTTTTTTTGTGAAACAAACTAACTTGGAAAAAAGTCTCCACAGTGTTTTAGTGTAAATAGGCAATTAAATGGAGAATAACTGCATGCTACCTAAATTAAACCAACTCATTTCAAATGTTATGACTGCTAATTCAGAATATAAAAACACTAGTTTAGCTGATGATAAATACGCAAATTAATAAGTAGAGGACTTGACAAATCAATGACTGCATACATTTTCAATAATTTAATATATTTTAAGTAATCCCCCTTTTTTAGCCTTCAACTATGAAGGCTAATTATTGCCATTTTTACTAAACTAAAACCACAAAAATTGGCCTCCCTTGGAGAAGTTGCTATAAATGATGAAAGTAAGTACTCAAGTAAATAATTAGGTAAAAGTTAGCTTAGAATATATAAAAACTAATACCACTGAAGCAAAACTGTCTAAAAACAAAAATGTACCCAATAATAATTGGTTATGATTTCACTTGAAAGAGTGAATGCCAGCAGATTCACACAAGCTATTATTGGAGATCAATAAATTAATAAAATACTAACTTCATGTGATGCTTTTCACTGTTCAATGGTACATTTCATACACCACAAGTAGTACTTTACCTGTTAACGGACGGCAAACGAGTCAGTAAGGTCGGTTGGCATCCTTTGGCCGTTTTAGCTGCACCTTCAGCCTCTTCATGCCTATCTGGAAGCCGTTCATGGCCTGTATAGCGGCCTGAGCACTGGACGGGTTATCGAAACTCACAAAGCCTGAGGTAAAGCCATGGAGTTGAAAAGAGATTAGATGCAAAGGGGTTTTTTTGGGAGGGGGTGGCGGAAGAGGGAAAGATATGAAAACAAAAGACAAATTAGAGGAACAAAGCATAGAAAAAACCCTTTTAACTTTAAACAATAGCAGAACAAGAGGGTTTTGTTTTGTCTTTTTTAAAAGATTAATTGAAAGTATTTTAATAAAAAAAGATTGCATAAATCCCAAATACCAATATCATGGGTATTAGAAATCAAAGGAATAACAGTTATTTGTTACTTGGGTTTTAATTTGGAAAAGATAAAACTTTTAAAGAGTAGAGCCAACAAAAAATTGTCATGTCTAGTGGTGTATTTGTAGACAAAGTAGCTTCTATAACCTGACTGTTGGAGCCTTACAAGAATTGTATTTCTCTCTGAATATGTGTTTTTATTTTATGTGTGGAACTGAGCATCTATCTAAGTAAAGAGCAGAGGGCACAAGGTTGTGATGAGATGCTTGGAGCAAGGTGTGTAGGACGGAGGTGCCTGCTGCTTGCAGTTATCACTGAGGTGCTGAGGCAGAGTGAACCAACAGCTGCCCCCGCCGGGACTCCTTGCCTGCTCTTATCAGACACCTCTGTGATTGACGGCCAGAATTTTCCGCCTGCCAGCTGATTTGATCACACTGCTATGGGTCCAATTTAATTTGGGGGAGAGGGCAGTCTTTTGTCAGTGTAGGTGAGATAAGGCTGCTGCTTTTACAAACCCTTTAAACAAACTGAACAGGAAAGGGTGTGTCAGTTGGTAGAGATCCCAGTCCTACACATGCACACACACGGATACACACACAATCCTCAAAATGTAATGAATATGCAGATTTTACTTTAACATCCTTTAGCCAAAATAATTATATAAGTCTGAAGGTCAAAAGGCAGGAAAATGTAATGCAATGTACATAAGATTAAATGTAATGTAAACAGTTTCAGTTGGCTTGTTGAATTTGCCGGGTACATTCTGTAAGAGGTAATTTTTAGAACAAAAAATATCGTGGCTTTAATATCGGTAAGTTTACCATGGCCTGCTTCAATTAAACCTCCCAACCAATGACTTGGTTCCAGTATCCAACTGAGATATTAGTCTTGTAGTCCTGTCAACAATACATTTCTAATAAAACAACTGTTATCCATAACTTGTTTTTTTCTCTTTTTACATTTCCACATTATGCACCAATTAATGATTAACTTATTGAAGTTTTACATGACTCAATTGTGCTTTTTTTGTGTTCTATTTTGTTTTTTATTCCTGTAAAACCACAAGCATACTATGAAAAAGTTTAATCTTAACCGTCACAATAAAAACATATACTCACCTAAATATTTGCAAACTGATTCTGATGCTTTACATGTCTGGGGAATATATATATACCTGCACACTAAGTACATAGATCTTTTACTTTATCATATTTAGATTTTCTCTGTGCACACCCGTTCTCTGAAACTCCTTTCAGATAATGATCTCACATATCCTTGAAGTGTTTTTCACTTTTGCTAAAGAGAAATCAGATTTTTTCAGTAAAGATATAAGTAATACATAAGCTTTTTTTTTACCATAATATTTTTTTGAAATGGTGCTGAAGTGCATACATAATAATTAGTGGTCCTATGTTGAAATGTTCTCTTTTTAGATGTCAGATTTCTATGATATGAGGCAAACACTTTTACTATCTTATTTTTCACATTCAGAATATGTAATGAAGGACTCCTTTTTTGTGTAACTTTCATTGTTTTACTCTTTTTTTAATGCAAAGCTTTTAACCTGACTTTACTAAAACATTTGGTTTAAAACAATATTTGCCAAGTTCATTGATTTCTAACAACTTTGAATAAGGTAAGTTTAATGTTCTTTTTTTTCTTTTTGATGATGGAGCCTCAGAGCATTTTCTATTTAAGGGGAAAATAAACAAAATGAAAATTGAAGAACATAGTTTAAATAAATGCTATTTGTTATTTGCTTTTTAACAAATGGTTTGATTACTCTCTATATCTGCAGTGAGGAGGTCACTTTTTGACCCCATTCTTGTTGACTGATAAACAGTGAAAGTGAGAGGCATATGTTCAGTGGAGAACACACACAGTGAATGAGAGAGAGCCTTTCCTGAGATGGACAGATGAGAAAGGTGAGAAGAAGAGGGAGACAGTTTCAGATATGCCATGACGAAGAGAAACTGATAGAAAGCCAATGATGGGAAACGCTCTCTCTCCCCCTCTCTTTCACTCTGTCTGGCCGTCTCCTGGGTTGTGCTGTCCAACTGAATCAACAGCAAGCTCCCCACCAGTCTATTATTATCTCTTTAAGCCCAAGGATCCCACCTGTGCCACCTCCACCCTGATGAACTGGTGTAGTGAGTGGGAGAAAAAAAACAAGCAAGGGGGGGTCTGGGTTCTGTTGAGTCCTCTAGTTAGAGAGATTTGAATTTAGATTATTTTCTGTGATATGCACGACAACCATGTCAAAAATATTGGACAAAAATGTTTCAGTTACTTTTTTTGTGGCTAGATCAATTGGGATCCAGAACCATAAATTGACACTTTCATTCTACTCATTAATTGCAGATCAACCACCTATTACCGAGGTCCGTTCCCGATGGTCATTTCTATTAGAGACAGGTAATTAAACAACTATGTAATAATTGCCCAAGTAGATATAATTATGTCCTACGTCACACTGCACATGGTATCCCGTTAACAAATATTTTGATTTAGATTAAGGCAGAATACAAGAGAATTGTCAACACAGACCTACTGGGATGTTTTCTTAATGGGCATGACAGCTTAGCAGCAAACGCTGCAGGCTTTTTACAAAGCAGTACCAAGGTATGGAAAGAAGGAGACATTCAAAAGCACTTTAGATAGCCTTGTGAATGAAGTATGTGGATAAAGTTGTTACAAGAAATTTAGGCACCATTTGTTTTTGTTTTGTTTTTCTTTTAAGCTTTTGATTTTAAAGCAGACTTCTTTATGTTGTAGAACACCATTAGGAAGAGAAAGGCTTCCTCTCTGCTGAGTCTGCCAAACTACTAATCAGTTATACAGTAGAACCATCTAAATAAGCTTTGTAATGCAGAATCTTTAGTGAATATACTGTAAATTTTAATCATTTTTTATGGTGTGTGGATATGTGTCTTTCTGTTTGGCTAAATGGGAACTCTTGTCTTACTTCTCCAGCAATGTCAGGTCCATTTTTGTAAAGAAAAGACTGTTTCCAGGTCCTCATAAATTATTTTGCAAGGGGTTAGGTTAAGGGTTAAGGTGTGAATTGAGTTCAGTTTAGGGTTGAGGTAGGGTATGCGCTGGCAATGTTTAGGCTTGGGTTATTGTCAGAATTAGAAAAAGTTAAAAATGGCTTAAAATCAATGGCAGTTAATGGTAATCAACACATGGTCTTCACTACGGTACATACAACAAAAAAAAGAAAGAAAGACACTAGTGTGTGTATATGTGCTAAAGCATGCATGCAGAGTTTGCTGTGGGCCACTTACATTGCATTTAGTGTATTACCTGATACAGATGGCCCACAGTATGTGTCCAATTCTTAGAATCACAGTATAATACCAGTGTAAAAACAACGGTAACAGGTTTTGGTTTTGGAAAATCCAGATATGGGACTTTAAACAAATGCAGCACCACAAAACTACTTGGATTGTAACTATGCCTTTGGGCAATGGCAGTTTTAGTTACTGAGAAGTTTTAAGGCACATGTTGAGTGTCTGGAAGAGGCAATGAAGGGAAAGCAACTTGAGCTGCTTAAAGGCTGTGACAGTGGTGAGCCAGATGCCATTCTACATGTTGTCTTTGATGTGACAGTTGTTGTTGAAGACACTTTTTTTTTCACTAGGATTACAGATATTGCACCCTCATTGGCCAAGTTACGGGTGTCATCTACTGAATGAATTTATAATATCTAAATCTGATGAAGTATTTTAGTCACTTTAAAGAATATTGACTAAGATCAAAAGAGCCCTGATCACATGGACTGAGAAAGTCTAAAAGAGAAGAACCCTGAGGTTTAATTTAATCAACATTGTTCATGCAGACTTTGTTAATTCATTAATATAAATGTACTTCGAAATTTGGGTGTAATCATTTAATTAAACAGTTTTTAACTGCTAAAACACTATGAGAAATTTTTCTGTTATAGCTTATAATTTTATACATTTTCAAAAATAAATGTAATTTTTGTATTAGGAACATTAAATAAAAACAACAAATGCAGGGAACTGAGAGGCAAGTGGACTTGCAGGTTGATTTTGAACAATATAAAAGAAATGCGAGGTATCATCAGAGAAAAATGTCTAAATCTAACCTCTCACAATGAGATATCATTAAAAAAAATAGGATCAATACTTGTTTGCTATTTTTATATGATCACCACATCTTTTTGACTCACCAAAACATTTGCTCTGATTGGTGGCTCGGTCAACAAAGACTTTGGCAGAGATGACATTGCCAAAAGGAAGGAACATTTGCATGAGCTCGGCGTCTCCAAACTCCTGGGGCAGGTGGTAAATAAACAGGTTGCACCCTTCCGGCCCTGGTGATGAGAGAAACACAGCAGGACGGTTATATGGAAGCATAAACAGGAGATGCCCAGTGAAAGATTGACTTAGTCTAACACCAATGCCTGAAAAAAAAAATTATCCAGCAAAATTATCAAGACAAAATTGCAATAATTTGTAAACTATTTTGTTACACCTTATAAAATGCAAAGATAAAACTTCTAGGCATTTGTCAGAGTAATGTTGAATGAAATGTAATATTTTTCTACACAACAAAGTTACAACAATAACCTGTGGCATTTCACTTAACTGTCTAAACAATTATATTTGGTTAGTTTATTAGAAGATTTGCCGGTAATAGTAAAACACAGTAAGCTTCTTGGTTAAAGAAGCACTTTGTAAGTTTCGACTCAAGCATTCGCTTAATGTGAGATATATTAAATCCGTTTTCACGTCACCAAATGCAGTACTTGATCTGTGCAGAGGCCCTTTGACCCGCCTGAGCTCAACTTATGGTTAAGCTCAGGTGGTATATATATATATATATATATATATATATATATATATATATATATATAAATATATATATATATATAAATACACCATACCTGTAGCATACCTATTGGTTTGAAGAGAGAAAAACCTGACTGAGACATTGCTGATGTAGAGGACCACCTGTTTGAACATTTTGTCCAAACAGGTGACAAATCGGAAAGAATTTGACAAAATTCAGTCAATTTAATTGTGTATTGCCCTTTAATGTTATCCCCCTCCCTGATGTCATTTTCTTTTTCATATTTTTTGTTGAATAAGTTAAGATGCATGTTAACAATGAAGTTGGGAGGAAATTTGAATTCATTAATGATGTAATATTTTTAAAGAAATTAACACAATTTTTTTGAGACACTGTGGTTGAAGGTGTAGACGGAAAAATAAGGAGAACAACAGAAAAAGCAAAAACACCAGATGTTGATTGAAAGGAAAAAGCTTAGACAGTTATTGGGAGAGTGAGGCACTGAGACACAGAGAAAGGAGGCAGAACACACATTAAGACATGAGCCAAGTTTTTGCTCCAATTACTGTGTGACAGTAGGCCTGTCTTCCAATCTCTCCCCATCCCTGCACACTCATCTACCCAGCTGCCACATTTGTGCTGGCCAATCTGGATAAAGGCAGGAATGAACTGGAGGGAAACAGAGAGAGGGAGAGAAAGATCACGAAAGCCAGCCATGGACACGGTGGAGGGGGAGGGCGGCAACTTGATGGACTCAGGGACAGTAAGCTCGGAGCTGGCTGGTTGTCTAAGTTTCTCTCCTGTCTCATTGCTCAGGGTGATAGCATGAAGAGATGAGACTGGGTCTGGTGAGAAAGCTGATAAGAGGGCTGCAGCGGTAGCTGGCTGTAGTGCCACTATGCCTCAGCATGATAAAGGACACACACACACAGAAATACAGACAGAAAGAAGGGAGCAACTCATATACTTAGTTTTCTAATAGGTAGAAGGTGAAGTTCTTTTTATAATGGTTTAGGTTTATCATACTAGCTAATGAAACACAACATGATTTGTTTAGAAAATCACAAGTCCCCTTTATGCCGTCCTTTCTCATAAATGCATGTAGTCTCGAAAGTTAGCTGTCTTGTTCATTTATAGTTGTGGACCGAATAAAAAATGCATGAATGATTTTTTTTTTTTTTTACTTGCCTAAGGTGTTAAGCTGTAATTAAGTTTTGTATGAGAAAGAATGAACAGATGAAACAAACCATGATGTATTACATGCATTTACTCGCAGAAGCACAAAAACAGAAAATAGAAACATTTAGTCCAATAAAGGTCCAAATTCTCTTAAGGAAATAATATAATTATGAAGAAATATTTTTTGTATAAACTTCTAGTCTTTGATATATGTTCAAAAATATGTTTAGGCTTAATGGACTATATTTTCCATTTTAAACTTCCTCCAGTCAAAATATGTACCTTTTTTGAATATTTCAGCAAAATCTGACCCTTACTTTATTAGTTATTTTGAAAACAGACACACCAACAGCGATGAAAACATAACCTGCTTGGCTGAGGTCAAAACCACAACAGTGGTTTCTATGGTTAAAGTTGCATTCTTTGTTTCAGAAGGATTTTCTTCGTTGAATCTTTCACAAATGCTGACTGACATGCTGCTGAAACTGTTTGCATTGAGGGAAAGATGGAAGCTGAGATTTGACTGTTTCTATGTAGGATCAGATGTACCTTGTTAAATGGCAGGGCAGAAGATATGGCAGTGGACTGAGACAGGCTGGGACAGCATCCAAAACTCAGTGGAGGCTTGAACTCAGACAGGCTACTGGATAAGCCAAAAATAGCTCGCTCTGTGTGGCCATGAGTGTAGCTGTGTCTCTGTTAGTAATAGTATGACGTCTATTGTGTTGCAAAAGTATGAAACAGTGAAATACTTATGCAAAGCAGTTAGATATTCCTGAAGAATGTGAATTATTTCCATATAAAATTACTGCAGCTAGCGAAGTGAGGCACTTTGTGTAAAACTTTTAACCTTGGATGCATTCTCAGTACTAACAACTTTTCCTTCAAGCAATCCTTAAAAATACTAAATTTCTATTCATGATGAATATTCATCTCACTCTATGCTGTCTCACTTAATCATACAGTTGAATAATTAAGACTGACGAATGCCGTCAGAAAGAATGATTTACCATCAAAGTATATCCTATGCTTTATTACATCTTATGCAATGGCATAAGAGTGCATAGGAATAGTAACAAATGATTGTGCATGCAGCTAATTAATCTGATGAATATTTATAACCACTTAAACACATTGTAATGGACTGATTAAGCAGTCCAACACTGTGAGTTTGAATTAGTGCAGTTTTTGAATAATGACAGAGTAACTTTCCATCTCAGTGCTAATGTTCTTTTCTTTAAATGGGGAGCCTTTTTCTCACATTTTCCCTAACCAGCTTCCCCCCTCCTTCACTAATTCAAAGCAGTGAAGCTACATTAGAATGGAACATGGCAATTATCACCTTTTATCTTGGGTGGGCGCGCTTGCTCGCTCTTACCTTCCCTCTGTTGCTGGGGAATGATGGTCGGTTGCTGGGGGAACGCTTGGCTGATTGGCGCATAGGCGGCAGGGTAGGCTGCTGTTGCAAAGGGAGAACCAGAGAGGAATTTTTCACATCTTCATTTTCATATTTGACACAACAAAACTCAAATCATTATTCCATTGTTCATTCGGGTCCTGAAGACATCGCATAAATAAATTGCATTATGACTGGAAGCCAGGGCTCATTTGTCTGGTGGATCACCACACATAAAGAGTGGTTAAGGGGGAGTGGGATGCAGTTCAACTGAGCGAAAATACAATAAAGGAAGTGGAATTACACTATTTTAATGCAAAATTATGACAAACATTTTTATTACACTTGGCATATTCACAATCTTAACCTAAAACAGCAGTAGATGGTAATCTGTTAAACTTTGCCTGTCACAATGCCTACTATAATAGCCAAGCAAATAAATGCAGTGAATAGATTCAAAAAGACAAACAAAGGAAGAAAGCAGAGAGGGTAGGAGAGCTGGATCACCTGCGTAGTGCTGGACACCAGCATAAGCCTGTTGGAGAGGGTCGGTCACTGTCGGACTCTGTGCTGCAGAGAGATGAGGCATGAAACAGAGAACAAAGGGTGACTTCGAAGTACAAGAGTGAAAGAAAGTAGTGACAGTTAAAAAAAACAGTCAGACACAGAGACAAAGAGATTGAATTAAAGAGCGGGACAGAAACTGGCCTAAACAGAGAGCCATTAGGAGGTGGGATTACACAGGAAGTGGGAGAAATTTGGGCTGTCATATCTTTCTTCAAAATGTTCTTCAAAATGCCTGCTTACTCCAGATGCTTGCATCAAATATTAACAGTGTGCCAAACAAACCACTTTGTAGTTCATTACGATTGCATCTGCCTTTGCATAATGCAAATGTGGGGAGCGAATGTCTGTCAGTTCTTCAGGAATCAGTCCCAGACAGCATTAAGAGACCGAGGACAGGCTGAGACACATCGAATTAACCATAATTGACTGATGGATGAAGTGATGGATTCATCATGATACTGAGGCAGGCTTCTAAGAAATATGCCAAATACACTGCTGACTGAGCTGTAAATGCTTTTGGTTCAATAAGAAAAAAAGTGGAATTAGACACTTTGAAACACTTATTCAAAGTAAAGTAATTAAACTTTCAGTTTATATATACATTTATATATACATTTATATATATATATATATATATATATATATATATATATATATAACATTTTTTTTTTATTGAATTCTTCAAATCG